TAGATTTATCTTAAAATCCATTGCCATTTAATGATAAATTACTAATAAAAAACGACAACTACGATCAACTGAACAATTAATCCTTGAGAAATCGACTGAATACGAATAATAAATTATTATCATAAGACATCTACTATACCTGTTCATATCTTGGGGTGTAAGGCAATAACCAGTTTCTAAATTATACCGTCGTTAAAATAGAGCTCCTGGTCCAACTATAGATGAAATGAAAATAACAAGTAGTCGTTATGTACAAGATAAATAGTACACGCAAAGAAAAATTATAATTTTTATGTGGTATAAATGATAATAACATTAGATGCACTGTAATTAGCTATTAGAAAGCCCTTGTAGTACATTCTGTATACAGATACACTAGAAGCATCTTTAATCATACTAGGTTATTCGATTACATTTCGTTGTAAAATCATCATCACTTTCTTGGTTAACAAGAGACTCTAGAGAGCGACATCTCAGTATACAATACACAAAGAGTACGCATTACATTTTTAATATAAGAACCGTTAGGCTACGTCTTTTAAACGACCAAAGAATTTACTACTGCTTATTATGGCATTATGATATTATAACAAAAATAGAGATATGACGGAAGAACAGTTTTTTACTATACACAGCACAGCACGCATGCTTTACACTTCTAGGATACACCGGATATCCTCTCTGAGTTTGAAGCAGTTGACCGGAACACCCTATATTTTTAAAGAAAAAAATATATATTCAAAGAAATGCCAACGTCGCCAACCATCCTTTATTACTTTGATATAGGTATTTTTTTATTCCCAATTCTTAAAATTGAATTTTTATTAAGTTATTCCTAGAAAAAACTATGCTTTGTAATATGAACAGTCATATTCGTTTATTATTGTTATCTACTTATATTCTAGAATCTAGATAAATAAAAATAAATTAAATCTATTTTGTAACAGAAAATTAAAATAAAGAAAAATAGATTATCTTTTCCAAAGGAACAAGGAAAACAAACCATACAAAACATACAAATTCTTCAATATTTTTATGACTTAATATGTACTTCAACACGAGTTTATATTACAATTATGACAAGTGAAAACAAATTATTGCAATTTTATACTCGATAACAATAAATTACAACGTTAGAATTAATTCTGTCAATTAACTGATAAGAGAATTATTTGTTGACATTAAATTAGTTTAACCATAATATTTTCACTAGAAGCTATTATAGTATACTAAAATATTGTTCTAAAAAACTCGACATTTATAGTTATCTTGTAAAATATATTACATCTTTAACTATTATTGAAATAAAAGTGGAATTATTTTAATATTGTTATTTATTTGCAATATACCACATGTACATGGTTAAAATTAAGTTTAGCAAGAAGTGCTATTGAACACTAAACGTGCTGGCTCTATCATTTTCTCATATAATAATGTTTTCACGACTTCATGAAACTATGATAAAACAATCGGATGTAATCAATACATGAAATTATTCGTCATAGTCAAAGAAAAAAAAAGAGTTCATTGTTGTGTTTTCGTGGGAGCATCGCTATGCTCTTAACCTCATCACGATCAGCGTGAAACACTACTATCGTGATACGATAAGAAAAGTCAAGTAATCCCAAACACAAAATTTAAAAATCATAATATAAGCAAATGAGATTCATTAGGATTATTAAGAAAATGTTTCAAAAATAAAATTAAACATGAAAAAAAAATTACCGAATCCCTAAAAAACATATTGAAAATATCAATTAGTGTAATTAACCTGAGGGTAGTAATAATATTAATACAACAATACCAGTAACGTCTGTTGAAAAGTCCTACGCTCGTCATTAAATTACACTAAGAAATAAACATTACAATGTTTGTCGTATACAAATGCGTATACTAATTGGTCGCTTGTATGGGAATCACCTGATATAGTCCATCTAGAAGAGTACAACATGATGACCGATTGCCCGCTAGCAAGACAACTGTGAAGGCGTGGGAACAATAAATAAACGCTGACCACCTAACATAATACAAAAAATAAGAGTCACGGCAATCCCTCCCAACATAAATCTATTCATTTTAATATTTTCCCAAGATTTCAATCGAATGTTATTATATTCTTCGATGAAACTAAATGGAAGACCAAGAAAAAAACAAAACACGTGATCCATACATATTAGACAAATACAATTAATTATCGAAAATAAAAATTTCGTTTATAATTCAATGCATCTGTATATTAGCCGATTTTTTCTTTCTCTGCCTATGGGACATTACAAAAAGTCAAGTTGCGCTTATCACCCCATAGAAGATTAAAACTGGAAAACAACAAACTTGAAAGATAACGTTATTTGCCTTTTTAAATTTAAGATTTTGTACAACAATGCAGATAACTAATTAGACCAACTTGAGAAGAACAGTAATAATTATAACAAGTAGCAAAGATGAAATTTAAATTAATATTCTCTTCATAAACTAAATATAAACTACAACCTACTTATGTTTTGTATATTTAACTCAAATTTCAAATTTCTCGACATCAAACCAAAGTTATTAACCTACACGCTATTATACATGTAAAATGATTTAGCACAGACCTTTTATAGTGATAATTTAATATTATCCAGGCTATTAAAATTGGAAATGAATAAACATGAATCAAAATTAGATAAATTACAATGGAATATACAATTAACACTCGTGTAAAATTGTCCTTTCTGTTTTAAAATACCTAACCGTCACCACATAACTGTGTTTACTAACCGAGAATTATTACACAAATTTTTTTTTTACTTTTAATTTCAAAAAGAAAAACTGTATTTCTTTACATTTGAAATGTATCATTGTTTCAAATACATATATTATACTTCCATATCTGCATCTCGTCTTATTTCTCACGTGTTTATACAATGACAAAATAAATAATACTTTCATAAAAAAAATAAAGAGAATACTCATGATTTAATTTCCTTAAGATCAAAAGAACAGTGGCGATGAATTAGATATAATTAAAATGATGAATTGATAAATCTCTACAATCACAAATTTGGTGCTGACTACAACCGAGAAAAAATATTTTATGCTGAATTATGGGACTTATCCGACTGAGATAAAGATAATAGATAATAAAGACAAAAAAAAAAAAATACGTATATCATTGGTGAAATGTACATTTTGAAATACTAAAAGGCTACTTTAACAACAAATTAAAATAAGCAAACTAATAAAATTAAAATGATTTGGCAATTGTACGCTATATATACATAATATGAAATAATTATAATAGGAAGAATATCATTACAAACAAAATAAACTTGCATATCTTTTTAAATAAAATAAAAACATTTAATTACAGAAATAAATAATTCAAGGCTTTGAACTGTATAATCGATTTCTAATAAAAAAAGTTCAAAGGCAAATCATACATAATTACGTTGATTAAACTGACCACAAATTAATCATCCTCGACATATTAAAAACTTTATGATTATCAATTATAGAATTGAAACATTATAACAAAAAATATCATTATTTTAGCTTAAAATTTGTATTATTTTATTAACAATAAAAAACAGATTAACTAATTACTATTCACTTCTAATTATAATTATGTCATAAAAACGATTAAGTTATCAAAACATATCAAACAATGAAAAAAAAATAANTTATCAAAACATATCAAACAACGAAAAAAAAATAAATAAGATAATATTTATTGTATCATAAACTATTCGGTTTTAAGTTTATTTACAGGGTAATGACTCATAACATGTGTACACATCATGACGAATACAGTTATTTTGAAGGTCGTTGAATTATAAACATGAAATTTCTAATTGAATTCGAAAAATATAAAGTAAAATGGAGTGGATTTAATCTAAGGGGTTTCAGTTCTCAAATATAATAAAATGCATATATTACTTAGAGAACTGAAAAGAAAGTGTTTGCGGAGTTGCAAACAATAAAGCGTTTTTGAAGTAAACAATGGAACAAAACGCTTCATTAAAAAAACCCATGATTCAATTTAAATTTTTAAATTTTAATTACTATCTAGAATACCTAATTGGTTAAATTTTAATATGACTTCAATTAAATTTCTATATTTAGATCTAAATTAAAAATCTCTATACATTTCCTTTTAATAACTACGCAAGTGTTCACACAATAAATATTTTAAAATATGTAACGATTTTAGTTCTTGGAAACAATAAAAATTAAAATATTAACCTAAATTTATCAAATCAAAATTGAATACAATAAAGCGGAGCTATACAATGATTAAAAAAAAATTCTTAGGAATTTTTAAGACTGAAAATTTGTATAAAGGTATACATTTCCTATTTATTATTATTCAAAATTGCTATTATGATAACAATAGACATAAATTACTAGCTAATAATGAAAATCAAAGATAAGCTAATATTTACTAGGAGCACGTTTTTGACTCGAGTTTATTTATATAAATTGCATAATAATAACGGAAGTTTTAAAGTTATAACAAGCCTTTATGGAATATGTATAATTTTTTAGGTATTGCGAAAACTAGTACAGGTACAATAACAAATTGAAATAAAACGTGACTAAACATTATTGCTATGCATTAATAATTGAATGAGTAATATTTTTTCCTGATATTCAGCGTTAATGATATGTAGCTTCGTTAAACTTTAGTTGCATGATAAAAAGAGGGAAACGGGTATGGCGAAAAACTTTTCAATAGTAAAACAAGTTTGCTATCAAATAAAATGGTGTTTGATCGTACAATACGATTGATAAGTGTTAACAGACTTGGACACGAAATAAACCAACCAGGATAGTTTTCAATATTTTACACATTATAAAAATAAATTGCAGTACAAAATATAAACTAGTTTTTTGCAAGCAAAATGTTGTAAGAACCACAAAGAAATAAAATAATAAAAAACCGGAATTACGAAGCAATTACAATATTATAATATCTCGTTTAACGTTTCAACTGCAAGTCTTGGCGCTCTTTAACGTACCTGATACAACGACGGCGGAGATCAACAACAAGGTCAACAGTGAATGGTTGTCTTCAAACATTGTTCTCATGATTATCTTCTGCGTTAAAAAAATAATATAAAAAACTATTATGCTACTTTAACGGGTTTCGATAGACATGAGAGAAAAAATGTAATTTCTAATATAAAAATAATGTCATTCAAAACAGATCATCATAACGACCGAAGACGACAAGTAAAATTCAAATAATCAAAAAAACCCCAAACAGGGGAAAAGACCGTTTAAATAGATTTCCAATACATAAATGAAATGTAAACCCGTTGTTTGCTATGAAAAAATAAAAATTCTGTAACCGAAAACAAATGAACGAACCAAAACTACGTAAATGAATTACAACACGACCAACGAGTATAGAGACGACAACGCGCGACAGTACACGAATGGCNTGAGACGAAAACGCGCGACAGTACACGAATGGTATTAACGTTCGCCGGCGTAGTGCGGTCGGAATGCAACCTGCTGGTGCCCGACGCGTTCGGACGTGTTCGGCTGTCTCCGTTGGAACGGCTATCGTTTAGGCGTTGCGGTTCACATGGACATTACCACCGTCGCCACGGTTAGCTGCCGCCAACGTGCTCTTCTCGTGCACCGACCCGTCTACCGTTATTCAAGTCGACCGGTTTCCAATGGACCGACGGAGCAATGGGGTGTTACACCTGTTTGTATACGTTTTCGACGTACTGTTCGAGAGCAATCTGCACGTTTTCCGCTTTTGTTGAGTTGTTGGCTGTGGGATAGTCATTATCTGCGCTGGGACGTTATTATCGTCAACGGGTTCGATGTACCGCGAAGTGTACAATTCAATTTGGTCGCATTTGCCGTAACGCATCGGTCAAAACTGTTCGCCAACGCTGTTCGTCGAGTACAGTCTCTTGAGAATTCAATAAATCGCGTCGGTTTACGCTTGTCAGACATTCGGATCACGACTTATCGGTCACACATCATCTGGTCAAGTCGATAAAAAATAAATCCTCTGTGTAAAAAAAATGTTCATTGAACTCGGCTACCCGTATTTGTTCCATATTCTATAAAATAGTTTTTATACTCATTATAATGTTCACATTTACCGTCGATAAGTATTACAATTTTATGGAGTTTTATGATTGCAACTTGCAATATAATAAAAAAATATATATATCCAAATTACTACATTATATGTAAAGAGCAATATCAAACACTCAATTTTTAGGAAACGACCTTTTAACAGATACAAAGTATTATGACACACTTGAAATTATTTTTCAACCAACTATTACAAATACATTATAAGCGCAGTAAAGAAAAATATTACATAATTGCTATAGTTTCATCATTCATTAAAAACTGACACCAATCACTTATCGTTTTAGAAATATAATATCAAGTATATGAACACCTTCACAGTTTTTAATAAGGATTTTGGTAAACTAATAATCATACTGGTAGAAATTATTTGTACTATTGTACATTTCAAACGGTAGACTTGTTTAGAACCATTATAAATAAAATTATATAATCAACACAATAATGAAATTTGTAAAGTTATAACAATGGTTATTTATAGAATCGAACGAATGTATTAAAATATGTCCACATTTAATGATTTCCAGGAAATTGTGCAGTTTGTAAAATAAAATATTTATATAATGTGATGATTGAACATTAAGTTAGTTAAATTTAGAAATTCAAAATTCCACATTAATCACAAAAATTTTAATTTTATGTATATTTTACTGAATTATTTAAACCATATTCTTAAAGGGACGTTTTAACAATTAATTGATAAATTTTATTTGTTAAACTTTTTTGCATAACTAGTTTTATTTCTAACCAATAGTAATACATAAAAATAAGTATTTTTAGAAAAATAACAACTTCTTTTATCGAAAAATCTAATAATTTAAAATGGATTTATTAGACTGTAGATGAAAAAAAATAGATTTTAGTTTTTGGAGATATATTAACCAAGCAGTCGATTTTGTCATAAAAGTACACAATTTTATATTACATCTGTGAAATTAAATCGAAATAGGATTTAGGGCGTTTTGCCTCACATTTATCGAAATATGTAACACAAACAATAATTGTTAAGCACTTTCATAACGGAACAATGTTCTAGTCACACCCTTTTTTTGGTCTTTTGGGGAAATTCCCTGTTGATGACTAGGGTCTTGTAGAAACACAGTAATCGTGCAACGTAAATGTTTTTATATCATCTACTTCATTTGAATTATCTAATTTTTACAACACAATGTAACCGAGTTTGACTCGTATATTGCCATCACTATGTTATTGTTAAATATAACTTATAGGAACGAGGGTGCGGTTAAAGGACAAATCAAATTATTCAGCATAAGGGGAACTATTAATGCGTTTTAATATTATTTTGTTTACTGAAGACCTACCGACTTAACATAAATATATAAACAGAAAGACTTATCTACTGCAAAATATAACAAAATTTAAAATAAAATTAGAGTATTGTGATACTACTTGTATCATAGATGCATCTAGGTAAGCTCATCCCCCTTCCCCGATTTTAAATAATAATTTTAAATAATATATACTTAGGGCGAAAAAATTAATTTACATCCCCCAAAAATTTTATTCTAGTTCTGCTCTTATTAGTAATCATTTAAATTAAAAAAGGTGTTATAGAAAAAGGTTTATAATTTTAAATTGCAATATCTTTTATACAAAATTATCATTTTTCACGTTTAACTAAAATTCTCAATAAATTAATTGGCATAATTTTTTATGCTACACGTTAAAAAATATTTTTATTCTCACATTCACAAATAACTTTTATCGTTTTAGATCAAATTAATAGCATGACAATTATTTAATTACGTGTTATGAAATAATGATTGTTGTTCAATAATATAACTATTAAAATTAAAATTATGTGTTATTCGAATAATTTTAATTGTGTACTATCAGAAAAAATACAAACATATTGTGCTATCATAATTACTTTTTTATTTACACTTATAAATAAACACTTATGAAATAATACATCATGTATAGTACTTTTAAATGTTAATATTAATTAAGTATAAGAGGTAGTTTTTTAAAATCATTCTAAGATAAGAATAAACTGACGACGTAACTATATTAAAATTATCATTTACAAGCCATAGAGCTAAAAAATAGATAATGGTTTGGTCATTTTATTTCCACAAATTAACTTAATGATATGAAGAAAAAGTAACGTACCACTGCCAAACAATTTAAAAGTATAGAAATTTATATATTAAGAGTAATATATTTACTATAACCATTTGTCAAATACTCATAAAATAAAAATAATTTCGGAAATTTTTTTTTTTGTCTCTTTTTTAGTTACATATCTTTGATGACTAATCAATTATTAAATAACTTTTCGATTCATCTCTATATATTATAACAGTATCAACTTTTATTTTTGTAAATGGTAACATACATTTTTAACTAGCTCATAGTGTAGAAAATAGTATATTAGTAAATTATTTTATTAAGTGACACTAAAAATATTCTTGCTCTCTTTTATACTTATTTTTTAATTTGTAATATATATTTTTTATCTTTTTTCATGAACGCTCAAATCTCTTTTATTTTATTTGTCATTGCGTGGCACATAATTCTTCAATTTTCAAACCATTGCTAAAATTTAAGTTCATAATAACGTACACTAAATTATATTATGTCCTTTGGAATATATTATTGTAGTCACCAGTCATGAATACAAATGATTGCGCCCTTTACGTTTTAGTCCTATAGGTCATTATACTTTTTCAATTTATTTTGAGAACTTTTTACTTTGTCTGAATTGATTGCCATCTACGACAAGTTCTCTGAATTATTATTATAAATGTATGTATAGTTTATACCGCAAAAAAATCTTTTATTAAGAATAACAAGGACAAGTCCTTATTATTTTTTTAACATGAACATAATCTACTAATTGTAAAAAAGTTATTTCATCAGCCATACTTTAAGAAAACGATCAATTTTAAGTTATTTATATATATATATTATAATTACTGTAAGATATTAACAATTCTCATGAAAAATTATGTAATCAGCGCTTCTTAGTATTTCTGAAATTCAAGATTTTGTACTTATGTACACTTGGAGTGATAATCGGCAAATAGCTCCTGTAATTTTAAAATAATGGAACGAAATGTATTTACATTTAGAAATTTTAATTATGATTCGATTGATTTCGAGTACAATTACCAAAGCAACTTNTTCGAGTACAATTACCAAAGTAACTGTTTTCCAAGTGAAAGGTAAGACGAAAATGCTGATGTTCTTTTGGCAGCAGCAGACGTTTATGTATCCTTGGAAACCGACTGGCGCCAGTGGCGTCGAGACGCGTCAATTACGACGCCACAGTTTGTCCCTTCAGTGTACATAAATGTACTGATAGAACTTTTATATCGAATAAAGTCCGTCCCGGTCGCGTATTATTCATCGTGCTTCCCCACTCGCTGACTACATCCCTCCGATCAGATGGTATAGCCCAACACAATAAACACATACAATGACTAATACAGTACTGAACTGTACCCTTATTTTTATGTATCTATAACGATTACGTGTTCTGCGGCTATTGCAATCATATTCAAGTAAATCTCCAATTTAGGTGTCTAGCATTTTTCAGAGAACAGTTCCTATTATCTCATAGACGCTTTTGTCAACGGATAAAATGCTTATGGTGTTGTTGATACAATACCTATCTGTGAAAAAATACATAAACTAAGGGTTGATTGCGGGTGAAAGCTATTTCACATTTAGACCAAATACACAAATAAATGCTAAGGGGATTATGTATAATAAATTGACCAATATCTAGTAAATATCTGGACAGCAGCAACCCCCTATGGAGTCTAATTAATGTTTGGCATATGGTCACTCTATTGTTCAATATACCAAAAGAATATCATTGTCTATATCCAACTGTTCCCTTGTAAATTGATTCAGAAGACTATTTATATTAATAGCGGTCAATTGTAATATTTAAATTTCAAAAATGGATTAGTTAAATTTATTTTCTTTAATTATTCATTTATTCAAACCTAAATACTTTAAAACACATATATTTATTTGTAAATAACTCTAACACAAAATAACTGTAAATCTAAATTTACTCTTAAATATTATGTGTGTCTATTTTGAAAAGTTACCATAGTAACGTCATTTTCTTAATATCTTCATTATCATAAAGATAACTAATAATACATAAGCGTAAGTTTTATTTAACTTTAACGTTGCAACTATCTAATTAATGTATACATAATCATTTGCGGTCGTTTTAAAAATTGTTGCTGGAAAATTCAACAGCGGTTTTGTGCTGATGAAAAAAATTATCTGTATGTATAATTATGTTTATTAACGAATTTTATACTTCAAAAATTACCCAC